ACTGTCGTCCCGACAGGCCACTCTAAACTTAAAAAACTAACTATGCTGCTAACTTGGCGGGCAGGGCAAAAAAAAAACAGAATTCCGGAAAAAACCCTGCCGCAACCAAGAAATTTCATGTGACTGTCGTCCCGACAGACCACTCTAAACTCAAAATAAATGTGACTGTCGTCTCAACAGGTCAGTACAAAAAAACTTAAAAATGTGACTGTCGTCCCGACAGGCCACTCTAAACTTAAAAAAACTCAAAATAAATGTGACTGTCGTCTCGACAGGTTAGTACAAAAAACTCAAAAATGCGACTGTCGTCCCGACAGGCCACTTATTACCAACTCATGTGACTGTCGTCCTGACAGGCCACTTATTACCCTTAATTAATTCCACTTCGTGATCGCTTCGAGAATGTTACATTTGCACCGGGCGCTATTTGACCGTCAAATCCTACTGATATCCAATATGTGATAGTTCACTTGTGGCTGTCGTCCCGACAGGCCAATTGCTAGACTTAAGGTTTGATTGCCCTCCAACAGGTCAAATCCGAACTTAATGCAAACAATAATGAACCCTGTGACTGTTGAGCTGATAGGTCACCTATGAGAAACCCCTAAACTTAAAAAACTCAAAATAAATGTGACTGTCGTCTCAACAGGTAGTACAAAAAAAAAAAAAAACTCAAAAATGCGACTGTCATCCCGACAGGCCATTTTAAACTCAAAAACTCAAGATAAATGTGACTATTGTCCCTCCAACAGGTCAAATTTGAACTTAATGCAAACAATAATAAACCCTGTGACTGTTGAGCTGATAGGTCACCTATGAGAAAACCCTAAACTTAAAAAACTCAAAATAAACGTGACTGTCAGGTCAGTACAAAAAACTCAAAAATGCAACAGTCGTCCCGACAGGCCATTTTAAACTCAAAAAACTCAAAATGTGACTGTTGTCTCGACAGGTCAGTACAAGAATCTCAAAAAATGTGACTGTCGTTCCAACAGGCCACTTATTACCAACTCATGTGACTGTCATCCTGACAGGCCATTTATTACCCTTAATTAATTTCCCTTCGTGATCGATTTGAGGATGTTACTTTCCCACTGAGCGCTATTTGACCGTAAATTCTACTAATATCCAATATGTGATAATTCACATGTGGCTGTCATCCTGACAGGCCAATTGCTAGACTTAAGATTTAATTGCCCTTCGACAGGTTAAATCCAAACTTAATGCAAACAATAATAAACTCTGTGACTGTTGAGCTGATAGGTCACCTATGAGAAACCCAAGATTTGACCAAATCCAAGAGTACTAAGCCTAAAGCGTATGAATGCAAGATTTCAACAAAACTTAGGATTTGACCGAGCGTAATGTATACAAATCCATGATAGTTCACTGTGGTTGTCGTTGTCCTGATAGGACACCTACTATCCAAGCGTAATGTGCACAAATATGCAATAACTCTTTGTGCCTGTCGTCCCGACAGGCCAAATTCCATTAGTATTTTGTCGTCTACAAACCAAATCCCTCTGCTAATCACTAAAGCCATGGTTATTAATTCATTTTGCTCTATCCATCAGAATACTACTACCTGAACGTAATGTGCACAATATGTAAAAATCTTTGTGACTGTCGTCCTAACAGGATACTTCCTGAAAACTTAAGATTTGACTTTCGCCTAACAGGCCAAATCTCAGTGATATCCGCTAAGGCAACGACTCTTAATCCATTATGCTTGAAACTTAAGATTGACTGTTGTCTGACGGGCCAAATCCCACTAATGCAACGACCATTAAATCACTATGCTCTATCCCTCACCAATAGCACCTATCCAAGCGTAATATGTACAAACGTGTACTAATTCCTTGTGGCTGTCCACAATATGTAAAAACTTTGTGACTGTCGTCCTGACAGGCCACTTCCTGAAAACTTAAGATTTGCCTGTTGTCTGATAGGCCAAATCCTAGTGATATTCACTAAGGCAACAACTATTAATCCATTACGCTTTTTCTATCAAAAAATAATACCTACCCAGGCGTAATATGCACAAATATTGTCACTGTCGTCCTGACAGACCATCTACTGAAAAACTTAAGATTTGACTGTCGTCCGACAGGCCAAATCCCATTGATGCAACGACCGTTAATTCACTATGCTCTATCCATTACAAATAATACCTATCCAAGCGTAATATGTACAAACATGCGATAATTCTTTTGCAACTGTCATCCTGAAAGATCATTGCCAAAACTTAAAATTTTACCGTCGTTCAACAGTCCAAATCTTTCCAATAACTACCGAGTGTAATACGTACAACTGTGACAGTTCCTAGTAATTGTTGTCTCACAGATCATTCACTGAGCACTTAAGATTCAAATCTTACTAATATTCCTAAAGCGCATCCACTTATAAAATTCTCTAACAAATCACTATGTCGCTAGAGCCCATATGAGAGTGGGTAGGGTGGGACGAAAAAACCAGACAAAGTCGGGTTAGCAGAAAAAACAGAAATTATCTTGTCCGGAAAAAAACCCCATCCCCTTAAATATGCTTTCGTCAAGATACCACATCATTACGTAACCATTCCGATAAGCCCAACGATTACAAA